TCTCTCTCGCTGTCAAATAAATAAATAAAATCTTTTTAAAAAATTATAAAATAGAATTGGTGGTATATTACTTGCATATCGCTCATGGTATTTCATGGCATTCAATATTTCAAAGGAGCAATACAAGGAAATGTTACAAAAACTAAATACCACTTATATTCTATGACCCAATAAGATCACTGTTCATATACTTAGACCTGGTAATTCTGCTTTTAGAATTATGTTCTAGGGGCGCCTGGGTGGCTCAGTCGGTTAACTGTCTGCCTTCAGCTCAGGACCTGATCCCAGTGTCGTGGGATAGAGCCCAGGATCAGGTTCCCCACTCAGCTCGCTCTCTCTCAAATAAATAAATAAAATCTTAAAAAAAAAAAAAAAAAGGAATTATGTTCTAAAGAAATAACTCAAATGGTGGAGGGGTCAATAATTTGTACAATGATTATGTTATATATAATTGTTAAAAACTGAAATAATCAAAATGTACAATAAGCCTAAGTTAACACAATAGGATATTATATAACTAGGTAACATGGTAGAATAATATAATACTATTTAAAATGATAAGAATGTGGACCATGCCAATACATGAAATGTTTATTTGAAATAACATATGAAAAGGCATAGAAATAATTTTTATAACTATGTAAAGATTCTATGTATACATTTACGAAAGATGGCAAACATTGAACATACAGTTCTTTTGACTAAAGTTGCTTATGGTAATATTAAAAATGAACTAAACAAGCATAAAAGTAATAAAAGGAATGACAAAGAAAATATGCAATAAATTAGACTATCTAAAAACTTAAAATACCTGTTTGTCAGAAAACTTCACGAGCGAAAGGAAAAGGCAAATAACCAAGTAGGTTGAATGTATGTTACAAATACAACAAAGGGATAATATTCTTTTTTTTTTTTAAGATTTTATTTATTTGAGAGAGAGAGAGAGCATGAGCAAGGGGAGGGGCAGGAGAAAGAGAGGGAGAAACAGATTCCCCACTGAATGCAGAGCCTGACTAGGGGCTCAATCCCAAGACCCCAAGATCATAACTTGAGCCAAAGTCAACTGAGCCAGCCAGGTGCCCCAAAGGGATAATATTCTAAATATATAAAAAACTCATAAACTGAATAAAAGTGCTAAAGTGCCCATTTAAAGTGGGCAGATAACAGAAGTAGAGAATTCACAAAGGAAAAACCACAAATGTTAAGAACATAAAAATTACTCCATTTCACTAGTAATAAAAAATGCAGATTACAACCATAGAGATACCACTTTTAACAATAAAGATAAAAATATTACAATACTTCATGCTGACAAGGGTCAGGTGTAACTAGCAGGCACACTGATTGGAAGGGATACAAATTCGCACATCCTCTCAATGACAAAATGCAATCTGGTCATACGTATCAGGAGCCTAAAATGTCCATAACCTTTGATTCAGTAAACCCATTTCTAGAAATCTAGGATGTTATGGATAAAATTCATATGTTGAAGCTCTAAGTCCCCAGGGGATGGTATTTGGAGGTGGGGCCTTTGGGACGTGATTAGGTTTAGATGAGGTCTGAGGGTAGGGTAGCCATGATGGGATTAGTGTCTTTATAGGCAAAGACCAGAGCTCTTTCTCAGCCACGGAGGACACAGTGAAAAGGCTGGCCATCAGCAAGCCAGGAAGAGAGCACTAAGGAAGAATCAAATCTGCCGACATTTTGATCTTATACTTCCCAGCCTCCAGAACTGTGAGAAAATAAACGTCTCACTTAAGCCACCCAGTCTATGGTATTTTGTTAGAGCAGCCTGAGCCAAGACATAGGCTAAGGAAGCAAGCATACATGGGAAAAATAATATACAAAACTATAACTATATCTAGTATAAAAATACACATATGTAAATAATCATAATTATCAAAATGTTGGGACACCTGGGTGGCTCAGTCGGTTAAGTGTCTGCGTTCCGCTCAGGTCATGATCCCAGGGTCCTGAGATGGAGCCCTGCATCGGGCTCCCTGCTCAGCAGAAAGTCTGCTTCTCCCTCTGCCTGCTTCTCCCCCCTGCCTGTGCTCTCTCTCTCTGACAAATAAATAAATAAGATCTTTAAAAAAAATTTATCACAATGTTAACAGAGAAGCAGTATGAGATAGTAACTGAGAGCATGAACCTTGGAGACAAACTAATTTCAATTCCAACTGTGCTTCTTACAAGTCATACATGATTTAGCTGAGTTGCAAATCCTCTCTGGCACTCATTTTTCTTGTCTATAAAATGGAAATAAAAATAATATCTCCTAAGAACGCTGGAAGGATTAAATGAAATCATACTTGTAAATTGCTTAGAAGAGTAGTACTGGCATGTAGTCTTAGCCATTACCATTATCAATTATTTTGAGGTTGTGGGATTACAAGTGATTTGTCTCCTTATAAAAACCTTCAGAGTTGGGGCACCTAGATGGTGCCGTTGGTTAAGCGTTCGACTCTTGGTTTCGGCTCAGGTCTGATCTCAGGGTCATGAGATTGAGCACGGTGTCAGGCTCCACGCTCATTGTGGAGTCTGCTCTTTTAAGACTATTTCTCCTTTTCCCTCTCCCTTTCCCCCTGCACACACAAACTCTCTCTCTCTGAAGGTTTTTTTTTTTTTTAAGATTTATTTCTTTCTCTCTCAAATAAATAAATCTAAAAAAAAAAAAAAACAACCTTCAGAGTTTTTGTTTTGTTTTGTTTCAAGTTTGGGACCATGAATCAGGGGGAATGGGAGTGTAATACTACTTGGGACCTAGTCTTCCAATGAAATTTTCAGTTCTGTTCCTGAAGTAGCTATCCTCAACTTTACATGGTTGTGATCCAATTAGATAATCACCTAATATGATAGCTGTCAGGGATAATTCTTTCAAATCTGACCAAAATGAAAAATTGTAAATATACTCATAACAAGATTATTTCTCTAAAGATAGACTCCACAAGCTAACAATATTTTCCCTGACAATGAGAGACAGGATGAGGTCTTTAAACAGTATTGAAAAACTGAAATAATATCCTCTAAAATAGCTAAGAATACCCAAGGTAGAATAAAATCTCTCAAAACTGAAAATTATAGGGAGGAGAGCAGAAAAAAAAACCCTGAAAATTATAGATGACTACTAACAGTAATAAAATATGAGTCATCTTTGGAAGAATAATCTCAGGCTAAAGAATTTCTCTTCCAAATAGTACAGTTCTGATTCAGTATTTTACTTAGCTATTATTGTTACAATAATATAAAGCATAATAAAAAAGCAATGTTATCAGACATTGGTATTCTGTTATTTAGACAGAATACAAAAGCAATTTGTAAAACAAATGTTCAGAAGACAAAATTTTGAAGGAGAGGAAAGGGATACTTCACATTTTAGCAATTTCATCTAGCTGGACTAAAGTTAAGTACTGCCTTGTCTTTTCATATGGTTAAACACATGGCCTTAAGAATAAGAAAAATCATTTTAGGGGTGCCTGGGTGGCTCAGTCGGTTAAGTGTCTGCCTTCGGCTCAGGTCATGATCCCAGGGTCCTGGGATCAAGCCCCACATCAGGCTCAGCGGAAAGCCTGCTTCTCCCTCTCCCACTGCCCCCTCCTCCCCCACTTGTACACTCTCTCTCTTTCAAATAAATAAAATCTTAAAAAAACAAAAAGAAAAATCACTCTAATTTCACTCAGAAAGCAAAAAGATTCTCACAAAGACAAAGTAAACCTAAAATACTTCGAAAATTTTAGCATTACAACTAAAATAGTTGGCAGTAACTACCCCCAAGAGCGAACGCAAGCCTTGGAAGCAGGTAGAGCAACAATGTGACCATGCCTAGAAGCTTCCTCTATGGACCCAGCAGATCCTAGAGGTCTGCTCCAGGAATAAAGGAGAGGAGGTTTTCCCTGACAGAAGCTGGGCGGGGCGGGGCGGAATGCCTAGCTTCTGCAAGCAGTGGGTAAAATGCACAAGTGAATTATCAGAGGCTGAGGCAGGTTGTCGCTATTGCCTGATCCCAGGCACAGTCATGTTCCCTTAACCTGTGCTTTCAACTCCTGAATTTTAGATAAACAGGAGTTCTTAGAAGTAGGAAGAAAAGTTTGCCAAATAAACATCTGAATGTATCAGCAAATTCATATATATATGATAAAGAAATATTTACCTTCACTTTTCCCTGAAAAGCAAAACAAAATGTTGATTATTATAAAGTCCTTCCAGATGTCACTTTAAAATGCTGTACTTCCACAAAAAATAAGACTTTGTAGTTTTAGTCCATCAGTTCACCCGTATAAAGCAAAATCTGAGGGAGACACTTGTGACACAACCCTATCTAGTGGCAAATAGGAATTATGCCGGATTCGCTTCAAGGGCATCATCTCCAAGAGCCTGGGTGAGGAGTGGTTTCAGCTCGTACAAGATTTAATACGGGCTGACGGGAGAGAAAAATCTAATCCATCATCTGAGAGTACTCTCCAGTACCTTAAGGACTTACGGTTATTTGGTTGGCAGCGCCTTTTTCCACATTTATTTATCCTAAATCTATAACATGGTTTCTGCTAAAGAATTGTGTTCTTGGGGCGCCTGGGTGGCTCAGATGGTTAAGCGTCTGCCTTCGGCTCAGGTCATGATCCCAGGGTCCTGGATCGAGTCCCGCATCGGGCTCCCTGCTAGGTGGGGAGCCTGCTTCTCCCTCTGCTTCTGCCTCTCTCTCTCTCTCTCTGACTCTCATGAATAAATAAATAAAACATTAAAAAAAAAAGAATTGTGTTCTTGCTTTGAAACCTCCAGACTGACACTGTAAAATTTTACCTTATTTAGGAATATTCTGAAAGACTATTTGTGAAGATTCAAATTATGCACAGTTCGGCAGTTTGTAAGCAGCTGCTCATTTACTACTAAAAAACTGTCTTCATTTTGCCCATGCTTATTTAGTGCCATCATTGTTTGATTATTAAAATAACACTGTTCATTGCAAATACATGGTTTTTTTTTAAGAAAGACATAGACGAAATAAAAAATGTTAGCCGTAACTCCCTCTGCCCTAGATAAATACCATTTACATTTTGGTAAATGTCCTTTTTCTTTACATATAGACATTTAGATATTATATTAAGTATGTTTTTACAAAAATATACATACTGTTTGATGCCTGTTTCTTTTCTTCAATATGCTACTGGTCATTACTGACCTAAATGAATACAAATTCTCAGCAATATTTCTAATGGCTATATTCTACTCAATGAATATACCATAAATCATTTAACCAGTTCCTTAATGATAAACATTTAAATTGTTCCCATTTATATTTATGATAAGTGAGGGTAGTTAATCAGATCATAATGTGAGTTCATACTGAGGATCACCCCTTACCTAGGAATTTGCACTCATCTGATATTAAATCAATAGCTTCCAATGAGTTACTATATGTGAGTCATATAAATCCAAACTCTTGTTTAAAGATGTTCTTTCATTTCTAATCTAGGAAAGACTAGTCTGCCAACATTTAGGGAATGATGCAATCTCACTGCTTTCCAGGAGGAAATTTATGTTTATTGACTGTATGAGATCAGCAGCTTTTCAAATTTTAAAAAATGAAAAACTTATACATTTCCTAAAAGCACATCAAAGATTTCATCAGTAAGCACGTATTACGGGAACAGGGATATAGATTTCCTAAGCAAAAAGTCTGAAATCATACACTGAACTGGTTTATTCAACAAACCATTCTGACTATTACAGACTGGGCAGGGTTTCTGAGTTTCAATTTTACACCCCCTCTGCCTCTGCACAGTGCCTAGCACATAGTAAACGGAGAGTAATCATTTGTTGAAGGAACAAGTGATCTTCCCAACGGTAGTCAAGCCCATTAAATGAGGAGAGCAGTTTTCATCAATCATTCACTTAACAAACTACTCCATCTGTTATGTGTCAGGCTCTCTATTAACAGATGAAACCAATAAATACTCCCCATATGCCCAAAGTACTAGGGTAGATCAATAGACACGTAATAGTAAAATAACGCCAGACAGTGGAAATGGGGTAAGAGACACAAAACGTGACATAAGATCACTTTATGCGGAGAGAGGGGTTACTTCCAGTTAGGAGAGTCAGGGAAGGTGGAAAAGGCAGCATTTGGGCAAGATCTTGTATGGAAGGAGAAAATGAAAAATGTTAATGAAGCATAAAGACATGTGAATTTGAAATCAGACTCCCAATATGTACAATCATTTCAGGTTCTGGGAAAGATTTGAGGCAGTTTTTTTGGATATTCATTTAACTAGAAACTGAAGAAAAATAGTAAAAAACTAAACACACATTATGTAAAAATGCACAGAAGAATAAATATTTAACCTAATCTCCATCCTATGATAATCTAACACCATAAACTTCATTACACAAATACTCCTTACTGAGGTGTAAATATTTTAAACACCACTTTCTCTGTAAGGGTGAGGCATGACTTCTATGGAAACAGGAATATATGATCTCCAATGCTCTTGCCAACTCTTATCCGGCCTTCCTCCTCCTTTTAACCAAAGTTCACTGGCTGATAAATAATATAACAGTGCAAATAAATAACTCACCTTGACCAGAAGCCAAAGGACTTAAAGGTCTTTTAATTGTCTGTGGCCTAGAAACAATAAGAATTAAATTGTAAAATATAATTATGTTACCTATCTTGTTATAATTATCTAAGTAAAAGTGAAATTATCTCAGAGAGCTGCTTAATGACTACATCCAAAATCAAACTATTTTAAAAACACTGAGCTTATAAAATATTTAGTGTTCTCTAATTGCTTGTTTTAGCAAGTTTCTGATCTTTTCCCATTGTAGCAGCCAGAAAGCCATTTCCTAATCACTTCTTCAAACAAAGGAAGAAAACACCAGTCAAGCTCTTCTAGAGTCGCTGTTTTTACATATATTACATATACACATACGCTCTGCCTATGCACACGTACACATATGTGTGTTTGCATGCGGTACAAAGCGCATTCCTGATTGAAAGACGAACAAGCAAGAAATATAAATACCCAAACCAAGCATGAAAATAAAAAGGGGAAAAAGCACTGTGGGTAGATTATTTTCCACTCAGCTAATCTTATGTATGTCAACTGACCCTGTGGCCACCAAGTTTGTTATGATTTCAGTAAAAGGTATTTTTTAATATGAAAAAAAAGAATTAAAATGTCACTGAAGTGCCTTTAAATCTCAAACTAAATATTCATTAGTATCATTAGTAAAATGTGGGGATTGCTTTGTCTGTGATTTGAATTTTATGAACTCTCACAACTTGAGACATTTTGAGAACAGAACATGTAAGCTATATTTTAACATACTGAATTTTGTGCCTCATATATTGTTTATATATTAGAAATATTTATACTGGGAATCATGATAAAAATTAGTTAGGGAATAGCTACAATACAAATATAAAATCTAACAAATGCTTCAGTTGGACTCTATTTTAGTTCATATTAAAAAAACAAACCAGGGCGCCTGGGTGGCTCAGTTGGTTAAGCGACTGCCTTCGGCTCAGGTCATGATCCTGGAGTCCCGGGATCGGGTCCCGCATCCGGCTCCTTGCTCAGCGAGGAGTCTGCTTCTCCCTCTGACCCTCCCCACCTCATGCTTTCTCTCTCTCTCAAATAAATAAATAAAATCTTAAAAAAAAAAAAAAAAAAAAAAACAAAGGGGGCCTGGGTGGCTCAGTTGGTTAAGCGACTGCCTTCGGCTCAGGTCATGATCCTGGAGTCCCGGGATCGAGTCCCGCATCGGGCTCCTTGCTCAGCGAGGAGTCTGCTTCTCCCTCTGACCCTCCCCACCTCATGCTTTCTCTCTCTCTCAAATAAATAAATAAAATCTTAAAAAAAAAAAAAAACAAAAAAAAACCCAACAACCTTTAGGGGTACCTGGCTCAGTCAGTAGAGCATGCAACTCTTGATCTTGGGGTTGTAAGTTAGAGCCCCAAGTTGGGTGTAGAGATTACTTAAAAATAAAATCTAAAGCAAAATAAAACAAAACAAAAAACCTGTAAAGTAAGCCAATTAAGTCAAACATTCCTAATAATAAACCAGGGAATTTAAATGAAACACATGGCAGATATGAGTAAATAATGAAAATTCTCCACTTCAAAACTGGAAATTCTTCAAATCAAAAAAAGAAACAGACTTGGGCGCCTGGGTGGCTCAGTTGGTTAAGCATCTTCCTTCGGCTCCGGTCATGATCCCAGGGTACTGGGATCGAGTCCCACATCAGGCTCCCTGCTCCATGGGGAGCCTGCCTCTCTCTCTCTCTCTTTCTCTGTCTCTCTGTGTCTCATGAATAAATAAATAAAATCTTTTTTTAAAAAAAAAGAAACAGACGACATTTTATTGGTATAAGCATAACTGCTAATCTCTTACATTTGACTTATGCAAAGTGAAATGTATTATTACTGTTACCTGGGAACTCCAAAGATTTTCTCAGAATTACCCCCACCTCTGAGATGGTATAATGCAAATGCACACACAAATTCCTTCCAAAAACCAATAAGCACATTGGTTAGAGGCCAGTGGCTTATAAGAGGCGGGTAAACTTGAAGCATGTCCCAATCACACAGGGATGAAACTATTTCTATTGTAGCAGTAAGAGTACAAAGTGGGTTCTTCCACTTACTAGATTTTTGACACTGGAAAAATCATTTAATCTTTGCAAGCCTCAAGTTTGTCCATCTGTAAACAGTGATGACTACAACACAGGGCTATTGCAGGGACTAAAAGAGAAAATGTACGTACCATGCTTAGCACAAGTCTGGCACACAGTGAGTGTTCAAGTGTTACCTATTATAATTATTCTCTGAAATTAATTTAACTTGAACTTGAAAGCAGGTAAAATAACTAGAGCCTCAAAAGATGAATACAGAGCACCAAAAAGAGATTTAGGAGTCATCTATTCTTTACTACTAAGAATATGATCCTGGGAAATGAAGTAAACCTGGCTGGCTCTAGGTTATTCCATCTATAAAATGAGATTCTATAATCCATTAGAGGAACACCTGTGAAATGTCTACAATATTCCCATAAAAGTCTCATACTATGCTATGTCTTTCATTTTTATCTTTTATTTTTTTAAAGATTTTTTATTTATTTTTCTATGTCTATGTCTTTTAAAGAAGAAAAAAATATTTGTTGAAACTCATGTCCATATGTTTCCCCAGAGGATAAGTGGATTAATGAATAAGAATGTTTCTATGTCCAGATGCATCCTTTAACAAAATGAATGTGATTTGCAATTTAGAGTCATTATTAATTGTTTATTTGTTTATAAATAAAAATCACTCTATATGTCAGGACTTTCTAAGTGAAAAGGACACATACTTAAAACAGTTTTCTTCATAGATGACGTTCCAAATCTTCCAAGCATCTGGCCCCTTGTAACCCGTGTAGCGCTCGGGATTAAGGAGCAAATCTACATATTCAGCATCAGGAGACTGTATGTCTGTAAAATGAAATGTTCCATTAAATCTTTTTCTTCAGTTACCTTAAAAAACTAGTATAATCGACTATACTCCACTGATTCTAAGGCACCACAAATGTAACAGTGCATCCAGACTTTAAAAACAACCTTTTACAAGAAAGATGAGAGAGAAAAGAGGAAGGCACAGACACATTAAATGTACTCACTGGTTGCAAAAGCATCCTGCTTTTAAAAATGGTAAAAAATAGGAATATGTGAATTTTAGAATAGAAGAAACATGGTAATTTAATTCTGATAAGCTATCCAGATGAAAAATATACTATATATTTCCCTCCACATTAACTGCAAGCAGTTCATCAGTAACTAGGATAAATGAAGATGTATTACTACCAGACACTGTTTATTACCAAAAACTTCCTTCTTACATGACCACCATCAAGATCCACTACAAAGTTGTCCCAAAGGTATAATCCTAAACATGCAAAAAATTATAAGCAGGATGATACTTGCATCAGCATTATTTATTAAAGGGAAAATTAGAAGCAACCTAAATGTCCAACAGCAGCACATGGGGCTCTGGAGCCAGAGTGCCTGGGTTAGAATCCAGGCTCTACTAGTTATTCAGTGTGGAACCCGGGGCAAATTACTTATGTTCTCGATGCATTGGTACCATTATTTATAATATGGAGATAATACTCAGTGTTACTGTGAGACTTAAGTAAGTTTATATGTGCAGAGTGCTCAGAACCACGGTACGAGTATAATACATCTTAGCTAGTGGTATTATGAGATATCTTAACAGGACATTTTACAATCAACAAAACTGTTAAGTACGAATGCTATCTAATAAAATGAAAAGATAAGAATTATAGGAAAGTCAATTACAGATACCAATGAAAAAACATATAAAAATTGGTGAGATACTGGTTTCTCACATGTTCTATAAATTTGTGTAATGGATTATAACTTTGAAACAAAAAAATGTCCCCTCGTTCTCCAGTGGCTTTGAGAAATTATTTAATATACAGTAATACCTTCCTCATTTATAAAGCTTAACAACATGAACCAACAAAAAATGAAGAAGTGCGCAAAAAAGCAACCAGAGTAGATGACAAAAATCTGAGCACACAGGTACTCATAAGAAAGTCCATCAAGCTCTCAAAAGTACCTACTTTTTTTTTTTATGAAATTCAATTTTTTTTTTTTTTAAGATTTTATTTATTTTTTGACAGCGAGAGAGGGAACACAAGCAGGGGGAGTGGGAGAGGGAGAAGCAGACTTCC